TGCCTGCAGTGGAGGGGGGAGAGCCTCCCGGCACAGCCTCTGTGCTCACCAGCGGTGAGCCTGGCTTCTGGCTGAGCTGTGTTCCCCCTGTGGGAGCGCACTGCCCACCAGGGGTCAGTGCCTGCATTGAGCATCTGCCCCCTGGTGGTCAGTTTGTGTCATAGCCACCAGTCAGTCTTAGTCATTTTGCTGTTAGGGTCAATTTGCATATTACCCTTTTACTATATAGGATAGAGGCCTGGTGCACGGGTGGGGGCCAGCTGGTTTGCCCTAAAGGGTGTCCCGGATCAGGGTGGGGGGCCCACTTGGGTGCCTGGCCAGCCGGGATGAGGGGCTGATGGCTGTTTTCAGGCTGGCCTAGCCTACAACTGAAGCTGCCAGTCTCTCCTTTTTTCTTTTTTTTTTAATTCTGGTATTTATTTACCTTCTGCAATTGAAACTTTGTTGCGGCTCCAGCTCCGAGGCCGGCTGGCTGAAAGCAGGTATCTGGAGTTTGTTAGCTTCTATAATTGCAACATTTTTTCTTAGAGAACAGCTCAGAGGACGGCAAGGCAGGCAGGGAACCTTGGCTTCCTCCATCACTGGAGCAAGCAAGCTTCCTGTTCACTTCAGCTGCCTGGCTGCTGGCTGCCATCTTGGTTGGCAGTTAATTTTCATATCGCCCTGATTAGCCAATGGGAAGTGTGACGGAGGTATGGTCAATTACCATTCAAAGGCTGTTAAAAAATCGCATTGTTTACCCATATCTTCAGAAAAAAATCACTTCTACTGTCGTGGTAAACTACCTGCTTCCCTATTTATAATGGTCTAGCCCTCTAGCAACTTCAGGACAAAATTATAGCTAGTTTGCCTACAAACATCAGGTGGTCATAATAATCTGGCCACTTGGTGTATATATAAAATAGAGAAGTATGCTAATTAACCAGGACGTCTTAACAGGTCGACCGGACAGGAGGAGGTTCTAGGTGCAGCATCGGGGGCGGGGTGGCAGGAGCCTTTGCACGTCTGGGCTGGGGGGAGGGCCTGATCAGCAGTGGCCATGGCTGCTTCAAGGGCCGGAGAGGGAGGCAGGGCTAGACCCGTGACTAGAGGGTGGGTGGTGCCGCACGATTTCAAATCGTGTGCTGGGCCCCTAGTGTTATATAAGACTAGAGGCCCAATGCACAAAAATTCATGCAAGAGCAGGCCTTTCTTCCCCTTGTACCCAGGACCTGGGCGGCTTCCCTCCAGCTCCACCTTCGTCCGGAATGATGTCTGGAAGGACATCTGGTCTAATTAGCATATTACCCTATTATTATTATAGATATACGTGAAAGCAAAATCCTTTAAAATCTGTGAGACACTTCAGAAACATGTTATAACCATCCAGATAAAGTTTTGGAGAAAAAGACTACCCCTTTTCCTTCTCTGGCTTTCTTGGCTGAAGTTATGAGTTCTCTGTTTAGCTTAAGTTATCAGAAATAAAATTATTTTTCTCATTCTTTCAAAGATAGTAGATGATGGAGCCAACCCACTTGTAAAGCATTCAAATAGAGTAAAAGATGAGCCCTGCCGGCGTGGCTCAGTGGTTGAGTGTTGACCTATGAACCAGGAGCTCAGGGTTCGATTCCCGGTCAGGGCACATGCCTGGGTTGTGCACTCGATCCCCAGTGTGGGGTGTGCAGGAGGCAGCTGATCAACGATTCTCTCTTATCATTAACCCTTTGAGTGCAACCAATACCCTAGGAACTATGCTAAAATTGCCAAGATATTTTTGCTGATTTTACAGTTTAGGAAAAAAATTATGAATCACAAGTAAATGAAGTTACATATTCAATATCTTCCACAAAATCATCATCTTCACAGCAAGAATTGACATAGTTAGCAATATCATCATCACTAATAAAAGCAGACTTAGAACAGGACCCTGCAGGAGGAGCGCAGTAGCGCTCCTGGCACTTTTGGCCAAAGACAGGAGGAACGCAATCGCACTCCCCAGCACTCTAGGGGTCAATATTTCTCTCCCCACCCTCCCTTCCTCTCTGAAATCACTAAAAATATTTTTTTTAAAAAAGAGAGTAAAAGATGAGTTTTTACTGAAAATTACATATATATAATCCCAAACAGACAAAAGCAGGTATTCAACAGCAACTAAAAGCTGGAGCTTACACAGTACATTTACTAAAGCCTTGATGCTCTTTCAAATGAGGGCTGAGAGCAACAGGCAGCCTAGGATGGCAACAACAAGAGCAAAAAGGGCCAATATCAAGCGACAACAGTTGTGGTTTTCATGCTGGCCATCTTACAGCCTTCTTAATGATATGCTTTGTTAGTGCTCTAAATTTGAAGTTATTTGTTTAAAACCTTGGGCTATTCTTATGCAATGAGAAGAATGTGTTTACCTCTGCCACTACTGCTGTTACCCTGTAGAATAATTCTTCAGATAAAACATATCCTTTCTTCTACCATTAAAAAGAAAAAAGATAAATGTATCCTGCTGGCTTGGAGGTTACCCTATCACATACCTTAGCCATATAAAATGCTAATGAATGTTTACTGGGGAGAGTAGTGACTTTAAAACCAAGTTCTAAAAGTTAGACATGTGATTTGGTATTTTATTCATATTCAATTAAACATTTATTATGGGCCTACGTTTTGCTTCTAGGCCTTTGTACATGTCCCCTTTGCAGGAACAACTCTTGCCCACCCCACCCATGTGCTTCCCCACCTCACTAACCTCTAACATGTAACTTCCTTTGAGAAGATTTCCCTAACATCTCCCACCTGCTGTGTTTCTACCGCACTGTTTTATCCCATTAGAGAACTTACCACTGCGTGTTAATCACAGGGACTATATTTCCTTTACTCATGACCTAATCACTATGCTGGCACCTGGAAGATGTTCCATAAATACCTGTACAGTATACCAGACATCGTATAAACAGGTATACAAAGGTGAAAAACAAGATCCTAAATTCAATGTCTAATAGGAGAGGCTAACGCATACAATGTAAAACAAGCTATGATGGAGTTATGAACAAGATAGTAGGGGCATAAAGAGAACTGAATCAGCTTGGAAGCAGGATAGGTGGAAGAAAGGGAAGAAAGCAGCAGAAAGAGCATATGCCTAAACCAGTGGTTCTCAACCTTCTGGCCCTTTAAATACAGTTCCTCATGTTGTGACCCAACCATAAAATTATTTTCATTGCTACTTCATAACTGTAATGTTGCTACTGTTATGAATCGTAATGTAAATATCTGATATGCAGGATGGTCTTAGGCGACCCCTGTGAAAGGGTCGTTCGACCGCCAAAGGGGTCGCAACCCACAGGTTGAGAACCCCTGGTCTAAACTAAGACTGCAAGGTTAAATTAGTGCTAGTTGGTGACAAAGAGGGAAAGAATGATCATTCCAATGAGAGATAAACATAGAAACAAGAGAAAATAAAAATGAGGTGGATCTGAGGAACTGTAAGTAGTCTGAAATACACAATTCTGAAACCTTACTAAGCATCTGATTCCGAAGGAGGAAGAGCTTATCAACATACAAGTTGCTGGACCTCACACCCAGTTTGTGAAATGACAGGCCGGGGAATATGGCCCCAAAATTTGCATTTCAAACAAGTTTTCAGGTAACACTACTGCTACTTCTAGTCCCAGGACCACACTTGGAGAGCCACTGGTATAGTGGGACATAGAGAGCATATAAAAATATAGTAGTAGACAAGTTTGAAACAATGCAGGGGGTAAAGAAGCAAGTTAAAAATCACATACTAGTCCTGGCTGGTTTGGCTCAGTGGATAGAGTGTCGGCCTGCGGACTGAAGGGTCCCGGGTTTGATTCCAGTTAAGGGCACATGCCCAGGTTGTGGGCTCAATCCCCAGTGTGGGGGTGTGCAGGAGGCAGCCAATTGGTGATTCTCTCTCATCACTGATGTTTCTATCTCTCTACCCCTCTCCCTTGCTCTCTGAAATAAATTTTTAAAAAATTTTTTTTTTAAATCACACACCATGCCGTGGAACTTGGCACTGAAGCGTTTTAAGAAGTAATTTTAATTTTAGAAAGATAATAGCTAATATTTATAGAGCAAAGAACTTCATGTATTCTGTACTGCCCAGCAGCTACTAGCCATATGCTGCTATTTCAATTAAATTACAATTAAATAAAATTTAAAATTCAGTTCTTCAGTCAACCAGCCACATTTCAAGAGCTGGCTACTGTACTGAGCACAGATAAAGATTATGCTATTATCGCACAAAGCTCGATTAGACAGCACTGGTGTGTATTTACTCATTAAATCTTGACAACTTCATTATGAGATAGGCACGGCATAGTCCCCATTTTACAGAAAGAAATGTGGCATAGAAAGATTAAACAAATTACCCAATGTCATAAAACAAGTAGTGCTAATGTGAGATCCAAATCCAGATAGTCTGGACCTTGAGCCTTTGTTCTTAATTGTATTTTAATACGATCATTTTTGGCAGTAATGGGAACTGGAGGAAGACAATGATAGAAGAAGGAAAACCAATGTGGAAGCTACTAGGGTAAATCAGGAGAGAAGTGACAAGAACCTATACTAAAAAAGTAGCAGCTAGAATGGAGAAGAGGTTAATTAAAAGAGATGTTACAGAAGTAGGAAAAATGGGGATGAACCCTGGCAGGTGTGACTCAGTTGGTTAGAGTGTCCTCCCATATCCTGAAAGGTGGAGGGTTTGATTCCTGGTCAAGGCATATATTCAGGTTGCAGATTCGGGATGCATCCGGGAGGCAAGTGATTGATGTTTTTCTCTCTCTCTCCCCCTCTCTCTCCTTTCCTCTCTCTAAAATTGATATAAAAACAAACAAACAAATAAACATCCTCTGGTGAGGATTAAAAAAAAAAGTTGGGGATGAACTAGAACTGAATCCAAAAGAGGTGCAAATAAGGTACAGGAGATAACTAGTAATCAGAGTCAATGGCAATGTCTCCCACCACGGTAAGAAATCAGAAGAGCAAGTTGGAGGAGGGTGATAAATTCCATCTGGGTCATCATGAATTTGGAGTGACTGGGATAAGACACCACATAGTGAAAGTGATGTCCGGAGTGAAAAAGAGATATTTGGATTCAGATATGAATTTAATATAGAGGAGATAAGTCTAGAGATAACTCAGAAAAGTTGAAACAACTAAGTGGGCAAAGAACAGAACCTTAGGGAATCCAACAAGTAAGATTTTTTGAAAGGCAAAAGATAAAAAGCCAGTAACTAAAAATGAATTACCAGAAAAATGGAAGGAGCAGGGGAAGACACTTAGGAAGATAGAATTATCCCAGAGGTCAATGAGAAGAGACTATGGTCAACAAGTTCTAAATGCTAAAAGACAAAAACTGAAAACTGTTCACAAGTCCTCTTAATGGTGCTCAAGGAACAAAGGCCAGATTACAACGTATTTGGAATGAATATAGCCTTTTTTTTAAAAAGCAGCAGCTTCAAAATGAAGGGAAGGAGACAGAGTGTAGATGAAGAGAAGGATCTGAAGTGGTTTTTGATTGTTTTTATTTTAATTTGACACTTCCCCACCTTAAGGGGCAAAGAGTGATGGAACAAGCCCCCTGAGATAGGAGAGAACAGGATCCTGCACATAAATGGAAAGATTAGCTCTAGACAAGACACTTCTTTTACATCCTCTGAAAAGGGGGGTAAAAATAAGTACAGATGTATTTAGGTTAGTGTGGGAAGGTATAAGTTGAATGAGCTCATTTGGCCACAAAGATTCTATTTGAAGAAGTAGGATATTGCAGTGTCTGTTAAAAATGAGAAAGGCAAAAGGGTTGGAGGAAATATTGAACTGCTGCAAGAGAACAAGACTACAGACACAAACATACATCCCCAAGCAGACGGCAGAGCTAAGATTAGAGGTCACATATTTCTAAGTGACACCTCACCACATGGTTTGTGCAATTTTCATCAAAATGATAAACCGCCCCAAATAGGAGCAGAGAGAGAAAATGGTTGGCTTAATTTCAAGGTTTGGGTTTATCAATTAGATACAAGAGTAAAGTAACTGAAGTGATAAACCAGAATGCCAAGTAACTAGAAGAAAAGGCAACCTTGAGTGGTGGGCACCCACTGGAATCACATAGGGGACGCTTCTTGAAACTATGTACTGTCTGAGACCTTGATGAAATAAAAGAGCAAGTACAGTTGGAATTAGTAGAGAAAGGTTAGGGCAGTTATGGTCAGGGAGTAGAATAAAAGAGAATTTCGGTTTCCGAAGTACACTGTCCTGGATTCAAAGTGTGCTCATGAAAGGAAGTGTGATGTTTTTTCCTGCATTTGTCTGAATTTCCATTATTAGGTAAAAAGTATCTACTCCTTCTGTCCCCTAACTTCCTAAGCCACTTCCCATTATACTAGAGATGTTGGTTCTAGCATTAGAACAGTGGTTCTCAAGGCTGGCTATAAGATGCACAACAAAGACTTAAAACGAAACTGAAATCTGGACCCCATTGCTAGAGTATAATTTAGTT